TGTTTAAAATGTCGTTAATTTTAAAGATTATGCTCTGTATTAAACGCGTCGAGGAGGCGTTGGTTGTAACTGAGAAGGGTGAACATTTGAGGTGGGTGTTTTTTGTTTTTTAAGAATCTGAGAACAGCGGTCTCGACATGTGGGGAGAATTTTCTATGAGAACACGTTTCCCTCTATAGAGACGACAGATAAAGAATTTGACCAAACGGCGTCTTGTGGTAGGTATCCTGACCACGTGACCAAACAACAACGTCCCAATCTGACATTGTTTACACAGCAATAATTATTACGTTCGCGTACAAGTGAGATATTCTTTATTTTATGACACCAAAATGTAGCAGTGATCTATAACGTTACATGGTAATTGTTAATTAGTTCATTGCGCAACATAGTGATGCGATGCTCCCTACTTTGGGTTTCAAAGTTTAGTATTTTTTAGCGAATATACCAGTCGTTTCAGAAGGTATTATACTCTGGAGATGATGACGATGGTCCAAATAGGGAAAAGTTGCGCAATTAAAGAGCTGTAAAGAAAACCAAAAAATTCCGAAGATATTCCGGAAAAACCGATGTTTGCTGATTTTGATTTTATTTTTTTTTTCAAATAAAAAAAATTAAACAACACTTTCTCATTATCTCTATTTGAGCTCTACAAGGCAGCGTTGAGTGTTCAATACAACCAGTGCCGGATTTACGGCTAGGCCCACAAGGCCCGGGCCTAGGGGCCCCAGTGTGTGAAGGGGTCCCAGTGTGTAACGGACCTTGATATAAATAAACCAACAAACGGCTGGGCTTGTCTCATCAAAACAGTCGCCAATATTATCCAATCCTAGAGGTTTAAAGCGAAACGAGTGAAACGACGATATTTTGTACTGTGCCTTTAATTCCTTGAATTTCTAAAATGACTGCGGGATAAGGGCCAGGGGGCCTCCAAATTTCAAGTACCTAGGGGTTCTGGGTCTTTAAGTCCGGCACTGAATACAACGTTTCTTGGACCATCGTATCTTCTATGGTTTCCGAGATCTCCGTGATAGATATCCTTACCTTTGCATACAGAGTATTTCATGTCCAAAAATTCTAAACCAAATTCGTTCATATTTCCACATCGAACATAAAAAGGACAAACAAAATAATGGTGATATATTAAATAGAATCGGTCGGTTTTGTTTGCGTTCTAGATTTACCTACAATTACGTTAATATTGCGGCCATAACACTATAAAACAGGTGATTATTATTTGCGTCCATGTTACCAGAGGGAATTGAAATCATAGTGACATAAATCCGTTTTGGAATACGCATACACATCACATCGAAAGCTTCAGTGTCACCTCTAAAATAGAGTAAATCAGAAAGTCATTCTACAGAAAATGCGTTTACTTCCACGAAGTCGAATCTTAATTTTCCCAACTTATCTAAACTTGCACATTTTCTTATTGCGACGAAATGCGTCATCAACGACTGGAGGTGGAGAAAACGTTACCTCAAGTAACAATGAATAGAATAAACAAAAAGGACATCTTCAGGGTAAATATGTCACAAAGTTTTGATATTTAATTAAATACGCAACTGATTTGTTTAAGTTTGTTGTTTTTGACATCCTAGCTATTGTCTTCCGTATTCAAAATAATTGAAGCGAAAGCATTATAAATTAAAACAAAAGCGAAAGAAAATTCGAAGCAGTAAAATTCAGAACACAATAAAGATATATCCCTTAAAAAAATAATGGTTGGAGAAATTTACAATTCGGAACAGATTGAAAGCTCTCTGTAGAGAGATTGGTTAAGTAAGTAACAGAAAACGTATGGAGGAAGTAATTTTAATTCCGGTTAGGTAGAATATAATGTTTGAAATTCGCGTGATTATCATAAATGAAATGTACCACCTCTAGAGTTTCGACTCTTCAATTTTGTCCAAACGCTAACAGGAATATGGAATGAGAAATTATCGCTATCTCATCAATCAGAAGTAACTTTGTAGACGCATGATAGGAATGTTTAATTCCGAGCACATTGACACGAAGCGGGTGGTTCGAGCAGATTAGCGTCACCTCAAACAAAGAAAGGGATGGCCGGGAATCGTAGTTGCCCGGAATCGGCGTCGCTTTGAACCCTCAAGACGCCCACTTCAAAGCTTTAACCCTTTCGCATAAAAGACAAATTCAAATTACATTCGTTAAATTCTATTTCGAACGTCTATACAATGACACTGAAATAAATGCGACACAAACTAATTTTATTAGAGGTTTATGAGATTTTAGAGTATCAGGGATATAGGTACACCTTTTTAATTAACGACCCTAAACGAATGTACTCGATATAAATACAAAAAATTAATTGCACTTCAACGCCGATGTATTTCCCAATTTAAAATAAATAGGTGTCCTGGAATTAAAATGCGATTAGCAATATGCAAAAAATCTATTTACATAACAAAATTGATTGATTAATGTATCACCTGAATTCTCAAAGTTAAAATCATGCTACAAGCGCCACCTAAGGTACAGTAGCTGAACATAGAAATAGCAATCTTTTTCTGGAAGAGAAAGCATTTAATAATTTGCAGCAGTCTGTAGTGTATTAGCGGTTAAACGTAGCTTCTAACGTTCTACCGGAGATGGCGGCTTATACGTCTTAACAAAAGTACATATTTCTACTTGTATGGCAGAGTAGAGCTTTATTTTGGAAATATCTGTAACGATAAACGACAGGAATTATTTTATACAGTGTTAACTGTAGACCAATACAGGGCAATCTTTTCGGATTAATTTACTCGGTAATAACGTTACTGATTTGAAAATTAAATCGAGAAGGGTGTATAATTACTACACGACCAAACTTAACCCAGCACTAGACTGAAATTGAGTTACGCACTCCCTTCTCTCACGCCAAATTCCAGACTAAAACAGGACACTATACAAGAAAAGTAGGTCCGCATAAGCAAACAATACGTAAGCTACGTGATTGTACTCTTTATTTCTAGGGTTTGGGGAATACAATTATTTATTATAATGAACAAAATAATAAAGGTATAGCATGCAAGTCTTAATAAATGACTGATGGCGTCTGTTACAATTGTGTATCCACATTTTACGGATTTTATTAAAATTTAACATAAAATGAATGTGCCCATCTGAAATATGTAGCTTCGTCTCTGTTGCGTCTGCATTTTCAAAATTTAATAACGGCTTTGTTTGACAAGCACAAAATTTTTCATTGGCAGCACGTTAAGAGCACGATATTGCACTTTATTGTAAAATGCTAGTTAATAAAAATTCTGTACTGAACAACTTTAGCCTTTCCATATCGCTTTACCATGCAACGTTAGTGGGTTTTTCGCAAGTCGTTACCGTAGGAACAAATTTAGAGGAAACCGAGCAAATCCTTGCAAATAGCAAAGTCAGTGTAGAGGAAAGATGTGTTAAACAGCACAAGCCACATATCGAACAAGTGAATGAAAACAATGTTGTGCAACAGGCAGTTACAGGGGAAAAAAGAGCACGGCCGTCGTCTTCCCACACTTCGCAATTAAGCTCTACATCATGCGCTAGTTTTCTTAATAAACCTTTGTTTAAAAAACCAAAGACATTAAAAAAAACACCACCGATAAACATGACGATGAACCATCCTATGAGGAATTTAAGTCGCTTTTTCAAAAACGCGATGAAGTTTTATCATATACCAAATTTTGTGAATATATCACTGAAATAAAAGGTCAAGGTAATGTAACTGAAATTACTAATAAATATTGCAATGATGGGAAAGCTATTATATCGCTTTTAGTCAAAGTTATTAAAGAAACAAAAACGTTAAAACTTAAAAATCGGTTAAAAAGGCTGGTCACCAATTTAAAAAATCATAGTGAGTACTTGAGCGATGCGGAATCTATAGACCTCTCACAAAGCGAAAACGCAGAGGGTTACTCATCGTCAGCAGAGTACCAAGATGAGGTGGATAGCGAAACTTTTTAATAATTATTAATTATAACCCTTTGTAATATTTCAAATCTAACATAATATGCTCACAAAAAAACTAAATATTGTACAATGGAACGCACAGTCTTTAGGTTCCAAAAGGGCGAACTTTGAGGTAATGCTTGCTCATTATAATATTGACATAGCCATAGTGTCAGAAACATGGTTCAAACCTGCACAAGTAATTCATTTTAAAGACTTTAACATCACTAGACACGACCGAGACGATGGATATGCAGGTGTGGCAATATTTACCAGAAAGCATATTCAGTTTACTTCATTGCACTTTAATAATCAACTGAAGAAGAAGGTAATGAATTGTGGTATTACACTGAAGTCGCTAAACCTTAGTATTATATCTATGTATAGAACAGTACGGGATGCAATAAGTGTCGAAGATTATGAACAAGTGTTCTCCCAAATACCTTCAGATTTCATCTTGGGTGGGGATTTTAACGCTCACAATAAATGGTTTGGTTCCGAAAAAAACGATACAGCTGGTAACATATTACTGAATGCGATAAATGATAATAACTGCATATTTTTAAATGATGGTTCTCCGACTCGAATCTCTCGGCCAAATCAAGGTTTGTCGGCAATAGATATCACTATAACATCTCCAGCTATGGGCCACAGATGCCAATGGAGTACATTGGCAGATACTTTTACTTCAGACCATTTTCCGATCCTTATAAAAGTAGACAACCAATATTCACAAGCTACCCTAATTTATCCAACCAGAAAATGGAAAATTATACCAGAGAAACTACCCAGATAGCACAAGCATGTACTTTGAACGTTCTCAGAACATTTGCAGGTGGGCATTGATACGTTCTGGAGACATATCGTGAATGTACTATGGACGTTCCTGGAACGTTCCTTCATTGTCCAAATGGCACAAATTTGGTTGTTCACATAACGTTCTTAGAAAACGTTCCATGAACGTTCGTTAGGTTGTCTTGAAGACATTCAGTGAACATTTTTGAACGTTCATTGGAACGTTATTTAAGTGCTTTAAAAATACTTTACAATAAAAGTGTAAATTTATTTTTAACATTCTTATGAGTATGACATATATATGTAGTAAATGATAAATGTTAATTTCTAAGTTCTTGCTTTTTTGATCGGTCTGTGCACTTCCGCAGCCACTTGGAAATATCATTTTCAACCTCTTTTTCAGTCTTCTGGAATAATCTCACTGCAGCTTCTAGAAAAACATACAGTGGGGTAAGTCAATATTATACAAAGGTAGTTCAATTTGATCACTTAACCAGGGAAAATAGTTTGCTTGGCGCAAGCTGAACGCTAAGCTTTTGGGTGTAATGATAATTTAAATGTAAACCAATTTAAGTTTTCCTCCAGTTATGTGCCATAAAATACCATGTGTGCTAGGTACTACGATGAAAGGCAAATTGAAACACACAAGGTACGTACAAAGAGTAGATAGCAAAAGCAATTAATTTATAAATTAAATGAACTTACGTTTTAATAACAGAGCTAATTTTAAATCCGCAAACTTTTTTTTTTGTTTTCGTCCTAGGAAACTAAATTCGGCTCCTGCAAATCTATCCGTAATCAGTTGTTTTGCAGCTCGAAAAATAAACTCATAAGTTTTGTTCCCTCCCAATTGAGAAATTTCCTTGACCTATAAAACACCAACATTGTAAAATATTATCTACATAACATTTCAAAATAAAATATCAATATACATAGATAAGGTCCAGTTGTGTAACAGTGTAAAGTGGTCGATTTGATTCAATAGAAATTGAAAGAAATTACGTACCGCTAGAGCAAATTCATTTTGATCTGATAAGTGATTTTCTAATTCTTGTAAATCATTGTCACAGTTTACTGGCAAATGTGGTAGTTTAACAAAAATACTATCAGTAGGTGTTGCATTTTCTGCCCTATGTGCATTATCCTTGAGCATGTTTTCAATATCTGCCACTTTTGCACTTAGATCGGATAACATAGCTTGTAAAATGTTTTGTTTACGTAAAATGTGTCTCAGATACTCTATAAATAAATTAAAATTAATGAATAGGGTACATTTTCATACAAAAACTACTTACCATCATTACTACGTCCATCAGCATGGTCCGCTGCACGTAAAGTGCTAGTCGGCGTTCCGCCACGGCTTGATGGAGAATACCGTATTATGCCATCTTCGTGAAGATGAGAACTCAAATAAGAGGAACCAGGAACATTGGCACTATCTACATCAGGTACACTGCTCATAATTGCGCCGCACTTCTTTTTTTGATGAGACATCTTCATATTATGTTTATTAGTAATGTCTTGAAGTTGTTGTGGTTTTGAGCTGCTCGGGTTAGGTGGTTTCGGTAATGTAATTATTTCTTCTTCTTCTTCGCTCGCACTACTGCAGCCACTACTATACAATGGTTTTGGGGTCCTCCTCTTCCTTTTTCCTTTGCAGTCTTCGTCCTCTTCTTCAGTTTGGGTGTCTAAATCCGATGTTATCGTGGCTTTCCTTGATTTTCTTTCTGCTTCTTTAAATGTATCTACAAAGTATAGTATACACAATAATTCTAATTTTCTATTGATACCACATACCAAATGTATTGTTCCGCAGAGGCGAATACTGAAATTGCTGCCACGTTGTGGTATTTGGAGTTTCGCCTTTTTCGATTGCTTCTTCAACACGTTTTCGGTTGAAAGGTGGCCAATAGCATATGTTACCACACAGCCACGTACTTGGCACTACAGCCACTTTGTTTTCTTTTGGGAATTTTATTACCGACCACATTTGATCGTTGGTCATCCAGGCACTAAATACAAATGTATGTGATTGTTTTTATGACACAAGAACGAAATATTTTTGAAATCACTTATATACAACATAGGTACTAATTCTAACATTATTATATGTACCTAGCTAAGTCATTAAATTTAGCAGGAATGTAACAATGGAAATACAACAAATTCATTCTTGAATGGAAATTTAACAAGCTTAAATGAGACATCATCAGTACTCCAAATACTTAACTGTGACAAATTTTTTACAACAAATATGCCCAAAATAGAAGATCTGCATGGTTCAGAATAAAAGTCTTCCTTTATTTGAAATTCTTGTCCAATTATGAACAGTGCGTCACTTGTTTTTATAAAATTTTGGATAAGTATTATACTCTCATTGAATAAACAGCAGCAATTGTCAGCTTCCGTTAATTTTAAACTGAAGTTACCAAAATCAACTTGCTTATATTGTTCACAAACATTATTATTCAACAATGGCCCATCATAATGAAGACTTGAAGGTTTCGGATTTTTAGAATGAGGTATTTTATGGTGGGTATTTTGATTATATTTTTCAAATAGACGTTTTACAATTTGAGGTAAAGGTTTATCACCTTTTCGAATATATTTTTTTAAAGACTGTAAATAGTTTTCGAATGGATATGCCGTAAATTTCTCCAAAACACCGAATCGTTTAGCATCATTGGTAATATGCAGTAAATTGTGAATGTTATGAGAGATGTTTTCTTTTCCGTATAAAGCACCAAACGTTTCCACAAAGTATTTATATAAAGATTCTGCATAATCACTGAGCTTATTAAATAGAGCAAAATTGGACAATATTGTTGTGGCAACATGAAGTGTTAAAAAATTTAAGTACATATTCGCAGGCAAAATTGATTTAAAAACAAGAGGACCAGAATAAAATAAAATTTGACGAAACTCTGTAGCTTTAAATCTTTTGACTTCGTTAAGAGAACGAGGCTTTCTGTTAAATTCCAAGGGCACATTATTTCTTAACGATGTTAGAATATTTGAAAGTGTAGTTATTTTAGAAAACGGTAACTTGGTTTTAGGCTTTCCGTCAACCCAGATCAACATCAATTTTCTCATAACTCCTAAATGAAGTAAATGCATGGGATCTAGTACGACATCTTTGACAATATCAAAATTCGGTATTGCTTCAATAATCGAGGTACCAATATGATGATCATCATCTATTTTTTGTCTAAATTCATCATCAGTCCGAGATCTCAAATTATTAGTTTCAGGAAAACAAACCCTATTATTTAAAAAAGTGCCATCAATGTGACATTTGGAACAGGAACTATATCCCGAATGTCCTTTCGTAAATGTGACGAAAGATTTTGCAGGCGCATCACATATCAAAGCAAGTATTTTAAAAGGAACAACCTTGCCGTTACACAGATAACCATTTTGAGTATAAAAAACAGCTTCATTCACAAATTTTTCTAAAAGTGAATTGGCACTTTTGGGCTTATCAACCCCATGATAGATGCCAATTGGTTCAACGATATTGGGATTCTCATACAGATTGCACAAAATTGGGTACAATTGACTATTGGTACTTTTGGCTATTGGTAAACCGTCAATATTTACACAAATTTTAATATAATCCAAATCGTGACCATAATTGCTAATTAATCTATCGACTGCATTTGAAAGTCCACAGTGATAATAATGTCCGGGATCAATAACATCCACTTTTAATTTTCTCGGGGTATTTAATACCGTTCTGGCATCGGAAGGCAAATTTGGATGAAATTCCTTAAGGATACTGAGCAGATTGTTAAGCGTTGAATGAGGTACCGAATTGCTAATAGCCCAATCAGCAAGTTGAGTTAATAGATCGGGAAGTTCCAAATCACTTTTATCTTTTGTTCCACCTGCACCGTTACCACAAGTCACAGCAGATACAAAAAATTCTGATTGGTAATCACTTAATTGGTCACTACTTAAATTCGAAGATTGGTTATCACTTGTCGAGGCATCCGATTCAGTAGTTAAATTGTTATCCAGAAAATTAGGATGTGGGATATGGTTAATTTGATTAATTTCTTCGGTCGTTTTTTTCTGCGCTCGTCTATAAGTCGATCGATCAAGTTTGTATTTCGGCATTTAAAAGCTAAAAAATACTTATTATATATTACCAGGTACTCGCAGTACTACATTAAAAACTGACACATGCTTGAGGCTTAATAATTTGAATTAGAGAAATGCTACCTCCCTACTAGGAAAAATATGAATGCAATTTGTCAGAGGTGCGACAGGGAGCACTTTAAGGGGAAAATTCAAACAACTGACTATAAAGCCAGCAGCAGGCGACAAACTGCGAAAAAGGATCAGACTTCAAGTTCATTACCATTTGCAGTATTACATGATACAGTTTTTAGTATAATTCCAACAAAACTTGAAGACTATGCCTCACTTATTACACTACAATTATAAAGTTGAGGTTATGTCATATGATACCAAAAGTAGCAAAGTCATCTCTCCCCTCTGAGATAAAAATAAGTATGCACAACAAAAAATCTCAAAAATATGACGAGCAAAAACAAGATTTACTTACCAAAAGTCACAGCACAGGTCACGAAAATTCCAAATTACCAGAAAAACTGAAAAACGCTAAGTTAACGACACCTTTTTTTTGATCATCAACACTAGTCAAGTGCGAAACTGCGAACAGTGCGAACTGCGATGTGCGCGCTCGATCCGAGTCGGTCCAATCACCGATCGGTTTTGTTTCCCGCCATATTGCGAATGTAAGAGTGATGTGCATTATTAGTCTAATCAATGCTCCTATTTAACATATCAATTAATTAATGTAATGGTTTTGGTGGTTTTTCAATATCTATGCCAATGCAATATGAAAATTACTCTAGTGCCTTGGGTACCTATTATGAACGTTCTGTGGACGTTTGATCTGTACGTTCCGGGGATTTGCAAATAAAGACGCCCACTGAACGTTCATTTTATGTTCCGGAACGTTTGGGCCTTATTTGCACTTAGAGGGAACGTCTTTCGAACGTTTGGTGCTATCTGGGTAATAGCGTACAAGAGAATTTTAGAAAAGGATGTCATTCCCAATCTCGCTTCGGCCGAAACGAAAATTGATTTTTTTATCGAGAGAGTGCACAGTGTGGCCAATTCGATATTTCAATGTAAAGCGCCTTTTCATGTGGGTAATAGACCTTCGCCGGTGTGGTGGGATGAGGAATGTGCAAGGGTAGTAGAAGAACGCAAGAAGTGTCTCAACACTTTTAAGAAAAATCGAACTCTAGAAAATTATATAATATGCCAAGAAAAGTTTGCCTATTCCAAGAGGTTTCTGAAACAGAAAAAGAAAAAAAGTTGGAGACAAATGTGCAACGAAATAAATAGGAATACCCCTATTAGTGAAGTGTGGAAAAAAATTAGGAAAATTAAAAGAATTTTTGTTCCTAGCTTCAGTAAACCAGATGACGCAATATTAACAAAGTTTCTTTCACATATCACGCCACCATGGGTCTGCGAAGAGAATAAAAGGAGACTTGACGAATATCATATTGCAGATAGCTACCTGTTAAACCCGTTTACTCAAATAGAATTAGAAGCTTGCCTCAAGTCACACAATAATACTGCTCCTGGTTTTGACGACATACCATATGCACTGTTATCCAATCTTCCAGAAAGTTACAAGATGCTTCTCTTAGAAGCATTTAACAACATTTATTTGAATGGGGAAGAAGTGCAGCAATTAAAGAAGATTGTAATAGTGCCGATACTAAAGCCTCATAAAGACCCGACTCAGTGTACCTCGTTCAGACCCATTTCACTACTTTCTTGTATAACCAAAACGTATGAACGTCTCATAAAGACACGTCTTGAATGGTGGTTATTAGAAAATAAAACATTGCCTCTCAATCAGTTTGGTTTCAGGAAAGGGTGCGGAACTATAGATGCCTTGGCACTCTTGGTAACAGATGCGCAATTAGCCTTTGGTAGCAACGAATATATGAGCTGTGTTTTCTTTGACTTAAAGGACGCATATAATTGTGTTGAACTATCTATATTAGAGAATAAGTTGATAACCTTAGGTTTACCAGCAAGAGTCTCTCGAAGTATTGTGTCACTTTATGAAAATAGGTATGTGTATATTAGAACGTGCAACAATAAGAAAATTGGTCCAAGAACGGTATCGAGGGGACTGGCACAAGGATCCATACTAAGCCCAATTCTTTTTAACATATACACGGCCGACATTCATTCTATTTTTAATAGGGGTACAACAATAATCCAATTCGCGGACGACTTCTGTGTATATAGCGTTGAAGGGAACCTAGATCGGTTGAAATGCGAATTAGATAGCATTGTCAGTGAGTCAAAACAATGGTTTAGGGAAAATGGTTTTGAACTCTCTACCGAGAAATCGGCTATAATGTTTCTTTCGCGGCATCGCAAACTCCCGATGGGGAGGATCTCTCTCTCGCAAATAATGAATTCCCTATAAAAACATCTTTTAAATATTTAGGGTTAGTTTTAGACAACAAACTAAAATGGACAGACCATATAAACGCTTTAGCGGCAAATTGTGAAAAGGCGCTGAATGTTGTACGAGCTGTTGTTCGAGTGAGATGGGGCATTGATCGAGACGCAGCGCTCAGCTTGTTTAAAAGTTTGATAAGATCACGGATGGACTATGGATGTACTTTTTACGCGAACCTTAACAAGGCGAACTTGAAACGAATTGACGTCATACAGAATAAAGCCCTGAGATTGTGTATTGGCGCAATGATATCTACCCCAATCAAAGCCCTTCAGGTAGAAGCACAGGTGCCGCCTGCGGAGTTACGCAGAAAATATCTTGCCATAAAATACGTCATAAAACTCAAAGCACTTAACTGCATACAAATGTACCAACGGTTAAATAGGTTGTCAATAGCTGACCTTACGGGAAGGTATTGGGCCAAAAAACCATCTCCATTATTAGCAGATGCATACAGAGATCTAGAAGACATGGCAGTAGCTATCTACACTCGGGAAATAATGACTTGTGACTTTCTTCAATCCTTTAGTTCTCCAGAAGTCATATGTCCGAAATACAACGGTGAGGAAAACCATGATATTCAATTGTTTCAATCTATAAAAGAGGAATTGGGTAATGCCACCATTATTTTTACGGACGGTTCCAAAAATCAAACGGGAGTAGGTTGCGCTTTCTATATCCTCTCCAATAAAGAACATCAATTATTACAACTTCATAACCTGACATCTATATATTCAGCTGAAGCGATCGCCATATACGAAGCATTAAATTATTGTAGGGCGCGCCATATGACAAACGTTGTGTTGATGTCAGACTCCATGAGCGTTCTCAAAGGTTTTCAATCGAATTATTGCTCGTTCACAATGGATCCAATCTGTCAAAAAACTTTTAAGCTCATAGCAATGATGAGAACCGGAGGTTGTAAGATTAAATTTTATTGGGTGAAGTCTCATGTCAATATAAAAGCTAATGAACGAGCAGATGCGTTAGCAAAAAGGGCTATACAAGAGGGAACACCATATAATAAAATAATAACACCGAGTGATGCCGTAACCTATTTTAAGCACCAAATTTTGTTTACAAGATGGCAAAATCTTTGGGAAGACTCCAACTCGGAGAAAAGCACGCAATATACGACAATCCACCCTCAGTTGATTCGAACTCACTGGTCGAGGAACGTTACTGTGAGTAGGTGGTATGCGACCACAATAGCTCGACTAAAATTTGGTCACGGGCAATATCCATTGCATTTACATAAAATGGGATTGACAGATACTCCCAGTTGCGTATGTGGAGAACAAGGCGACCTTAATCATATTTTCCTTGGTTGTGTGAATAACGCTAATTTCACTGACAAATTACTTAAAGAAATACGCTGTCATAATATGGAATTACCAACCAATATGTTCACCCTATTAGCTTCAAATAACAAAAAAATCTACGACGCCTTGGTGCAATTTTTGATGGAAGCTAAAATTCAAATTTAAATAAATAAAATCATTCATTGAAGAATACCTCTGTCATAACATACTTCTGTTCGTCATCCTAAACCGTTCCGTGGTCTGTTGTCTGTCGGTTGTGTTTGTCTGATTAAAAGTCTCCATGAAAGACCGCATGGAGTGAAGAGTGTCATCCTTGTCATTTTGTTTCCATTCCTGTTAGCCACATGGGCATCGATCCCGATAGGGCTATTTAAAATTAAAAAAAAAAAAAAATTCGGGCGAATGCCAGAAAAGTTATATAATTCTTCAAAATAACCTGTTTATTAACAATGTGCACGAAAATGCATCATCAGGTATTTGATCAATGTTATGATTATATCATCAGCACATAACGGTATTGGTTTCTGTGGATGTGTTGCGCACGTCTTAAGCGGAACTTGGTATCGATAGAAATTTAATTTTGAGGAAAATCAATCATGTACATATTTTACTCATAGTCAAAATGTTAATCTCGAAGGAATTTACCGCAACACATTGATTGCACTTTGGCGGTAACTAAGGATATTTCTAACGATCACGAGTCATACTCAGATACCGAAAACCCTGAAGGCGAGTTGAATTTTCTGGACATCAGGAAGAAGGTTGTCGCAACAACAAAAATAGGATCTAAGGTAAATAGTAAACAGAACAGACATTTTGGCACAAATTACAAAATAAAGAAATTCTCTGGAAACGAGCATCAGTTAGGAGCGGATGATTAATAACGGGATTAGCAGCTAACAGGGTGAATCTTAGAGATATATTGTTGCGGGTCGTTGTCATAGGGATGGAGTTCGAGGATGCTGTTGAATTGATGACGATGGTGGTGGTTTTACTTGGATTAGATATGTGTGTCCCACTTCAGGAAATTTGTGCTCTATGGTAGTAAACACGCCCTTTAAAATCAAGAATTGGCAAAAACAAATCATCAGGAAATTTTTATTTTGGCCTGGGCACGAATCAGACCACATTAATAGATGATCTCTAGTGTTAGATTCCTGAAAGTGTTGAACAAAATTCCATAAACTACTGATTACTTCCACAGCACCTCGCTTTGCTACATCTTCAGTCCATGTTTGCATGTAAGATATGTCGCCAATTGTTGTAACAGTATGTATCCCTAAGTTGTAAAACCACAACTGCCTTAAGTAGAATGCCTTGGAAACGGTAAGTTTCGGCAAGGGCATAGTTTGTTGAAGGTCAACGGTTAAATATAATACCTTAGGATTACTACGAGCATTTTCTCTGTCTGATTTGAGCAAGCTGAAGCCACTGTGCACGTTTTCTAGGTGTTCTTCATTCGCCTCTCCAGCATCACACCTACTACATGTATCACTCTTAGGATGGCTAAATGAAAGATTAAATTCTGTAGAAAATATATTTGCATACGAAGACTTCTTGATGATCTGGCTTGAGGTTTGTTATTTTCATGACACTTTTCTAAATAGAGTTTGTGCATAATTGATAAATTTAGTTGGGGTGATAAATAAAGCTTGTGCGGGTTACTATTCCTTGAATAGTGGGACGATTCTGCCGGAAACTGCCCAATATGTCTTTTTATATATTCAAAAACTTCATTAGACATTTTATGAGGGCGGTTATAATGATGGCCGCGAGCATCAGGAGATGGAACTGATGAACC